CGGTCTCGCTAGTCGTGTGGTTGATAGCCTTCATTTCTGGCTGTCTACATCTTCGGGTTGGGTATGCGCGTGGATGTCTTCTCACCTTGGTCATCCTTTGTCAGCAGCCAGCCTGCGCACAAGCCGTGCGTTTTTGTGAGACTCCCGCGACATGCCCCCGTGACGTGGACTGGAGACCGTGGACCTCCCCGGCCAGATGTCAAGTGGGTCTCTGGCCCAGCTCAGCCTCTCTTGACCCGTTCCCGTCCTTCTGCCAGGAGCCTGCCCACGCCCTGCCGGTCAAGCCTCAGGCTTCCTGACAGACACACTTTCCTTGTCAATGTTCCTCAGGTAGGAGCCCCTGAGGGCAGCTCTGACGAGGATGGGCTACGATCCTTAGATGTCCCACTGACTGTCCTTGACCATTGTTCGCGTGCCTCCGATCATTGGGCTTTTATGGCTTTAACCCTCTTGGAGGTTCTCTTTGAATATGATGTTGAGGTCGGTCTTGTTCGACCGCAGGTTCCGACAACCACCCCCGCCGTTGTGCCCGGAGACGGCCCGCAGACCTTTCATTTGGAGGCCGACGACCCTCCGACCACCCTCCTGCTCGATCACTATTTGCCGAGGGGCTCCTCTTGCACAACGAGTCATGGCCCAGCCGTGTGGTACGATCTGACACGTGGGCAGTGTCACACCCCTCTGTCTGACGTGCTATGGGCGGAGTTGCACTGCTTCGTGCCCGCTCGTGCTTGTGGCACCCTTCCTGAACGGCTGGAGGGCCCGGACCGTTTCTGTGCGTGGCTTGCTGGTGGCTCTCCCGGTTCTATTCCGAGCGATGCCTATGCCCTGTGTGTCACCTCAGATGGGTCCTTCTCGCCTATTTCGGGACAAGCTGAGTGGGGTATTGTCTTCTCAGTGCTTACTCCTGCTTGTCCCGACACTCCGGGCTGCTTTATAGGTGGTGCCTCAGGCGCCACGCCAGAAGTCTGGGACTTTATAACCCTGCAACTGCAGGTGCAGTCAACGCATACGCTTCGGAGCTGGTTGGCCTTTTTTGGGCTGCGGTAGCTGTATTCCAGTTCGGATTCCAAGGAGACCTGGTCTTCCTGTGTGACAGCCAGGCTGCCCTTGGTGCGGCGGCAGGCACTTGTTCACTTTCTGGTTGCCCTGTCGCGCAGGCGTGCTCCCATCTGCACCTCGGACTCCGTTTCCGGAAGTCTGGACACGTCCGAGGCCATGCAGGCGATCCTGCCAACGAGCTGGCTGACGCCCTTGCCTCTCAAGGTGCTTCCGGAGGGGGGGATTCCCCTTTCCGTTTACGTCTGGACCTGTGGTTTCGGAATGATGTCTTCCGTTGGGTGCCTCACAGGTGTTGGTCTTGCGCTTTCCCTGGGTGCGGGCCGCTGGGTTCGAACGGTACCCTTAGCTGGGATCTTGAGGTCGCCGCCGGTCGTTTGTCGGGCGAGGATGTCATGGGCCCTTTCCTGCGTGCAGTACCGGCTGATAACACAACACGTGAGGACGCCGCGCCTTTTCCTTGCGTGCTCGCTACCTTCAATGCGCTCTCCCTGGCTGAGGCGGCAGGGGGAGAAGCCGGCAAGGTTGCCGGTCTTCATGGCTGCACAGGGCGCGTGTCTCTTCTCGACACGTCACTCTTCCAGCGCCGGATTTTTCTTGCAGGTCTTCAGGAGGCGCGCACCCCCCCTGGAACTGCCAACACTCTCCACTACGCCAGGTACTGTTCCGGATGTTTGGACCGTCGGGCACTCGGCGTTGAGCTCTGGGTTGCCACAGACCCCCGTAGCCCCCAACATAGAGCTGTTGTGCTCCACTCTGACCATACGCGCCTTTGTGCGCGTGTGAGCTTTGCCGGTCTACAGGTGTGCGTGCCTTGCGGACGGTTTGACCTTTAAAACGTCCCTACCTCCAAAAGAGCTTCTTATATATAGGTCATTGCACCTATAAGGGTCATTCGGCCGTATAATGGTCATTTGAACAAAGACAGCACAAACAAACATGATCAACCAGAAAAAAGTGAAACACATCAGCATGCTGAGTTCCAGCAAATGATATCTGCAGAAACGTGCTCTCGCCACACATCGTTTCCGCCGGGCTCTATATATTGAGCCCCGCAGAAATTTGAGCCAAAGCTTGAGCCACACAAAACGTTTGAGCCAACATTTCTTAATTAGGGAATTTAGGGAATTTAGGGACAAACCCACACCAAGACCCACCCCCCCACCCCCCTGAACCCTTAAATGCCTTAAATCTTCAGAAAACTTGTCATCGGTCTGGAGCTTGTTTTCACACCGGCCGCACATGCTTCTTCAGATTTTCTTTCAGTGTGACTAAATTGCGACGGAGGATATTGCAGGAAGCTGTCCTGTGGGACATCTTGCGATACATTTTCATGGCATACCGCACATAATCTTCGTCGAGCCAACAGCCGTCATGAGTCGGGTTCCTGCCACTTCCCTGCAAACAGGCTTCCAGCAAGTGCTGCATATAATGCAGTTTCGGTCTCAAACGCCATAACAAGACGCCTCGATCATGAGCTTCGGCAGCCAAACGACAATAGGAATCCAGAAACGCATGGCCCAGAACTTTCGTTTGGTACTGCTCTGCAGGCGAGAGAAAGACTCCAGCCGATTGTAAGGAGCTGCAAAGGCGATCTGCACACCATACTGCACCAAGAAGTCCTTCGTATGGCTCGCACGGCGGCTTCTGCTGCAAGGCATCAGCAAGCCAAGACAGGAACACTCCTGTATCTGAAGCGGATCCCCGGAATTCGGGGCACTGGCCGCCCCACGCAAGCGACTGTTTCGTTAACCGTTTCAGTGACAGTTGTTTCCCATGCAGCTTCGAAAATCGTCGGACATCAGAATACATCTGTTTAAGTCTCAAAGGGATGTTGCGTCCATTGAACCATCGGCGTGAGCTGGCCATGATTTTTAGTGCCGACCCTACTAGGTCTCGGCCCACCCCCATGTGGAATGTATGCATGAAGTCTATCCTAACCATCGACATGGTGAAGTAAGGCAGGGTCGCAAAGCTAGGTGTTTCTTTCCAAGGCAGCGAAGTTCCAACTGTTGCCCGCCATCCTGCTTGCTGTGAAATGTCGGTATAGACCAATGCATAATCATGCCGGCCCATGGAAGCTTGGCAAAAACAGCATACCTGATTTCAATACCACATGAAGCTGGTTTTTGTTTTGGGGGGGGGCGGGGGTTCAGGCTTTATAAGGGTTTTATCACCGTAGCAGGGTTGTGGACTAGCTTCGAATTCCCCCAAGCTAGCACTATATAAGACTTAATTTTACTCTGTTATAAACTATATATCCGAACCCTAGACCCTATAAAGCCCTTCATCCCTCTGCCATGCGCCGGCGCCTGCTCTGAGCCGGGCTTCCGGACCAGGTTGAAGGCCTGCACCATTTGCTTCAAGTCGCCTCGGAACCCGATCGGGATGAAGTAGTATACCTGGGAAGATCAGTCAACCCAAAACCCCTACAACCTTAAACCTTAACTAGCCTTGCACATAGAATTTCAATCTGTAGACATAATTCAAAAAGAGGTGCTTCGTTGTTCACCTCTACACCTTGCTCACTAAGCTTCACAAAGTCCTCAATAATTGCTGCATTCAAGGTCTGCAGCGTAACATTGATCTTGTGTCGTATGAGGTAGGCTTTGGTCGGTAGAGAATATATAGCACAGCGTGATGCCTTGGAATCGGTTCTGCATGTTGATAAGTCTGGCGTCCTTGGTTTCGGCATAAGGATAGCTGTCTTTAGGTTTTGGGGTTTGAAGTTAAAGGGCTCTTGCAAAGTTTGAAAACAAGGCTCCAACTGGCCAACATCCAGGAAGAACGATTGAGACTCCCTTCATCTCCCCAGATAGCCACAGGAATACATTGCTTGTACAAATGCGGACTCGCCTCAAGTAAAGGAACACGTATTTCTTGCATAGTCTTCGACCAGTAGGTTTTCAACTCTCTCGGATCCTCAGGGATCATCGTGGACTTGAAGCCAGCTTCCAGGAGGCTCCTCGCCTTTGCTGCGGGGTTTAAGATTTACAGCTGGGTCTAATCTGGGGTTCGATATAATGGGTTTAGGAAGTGTCGACACAACTCTCTACACTGTCTTGCATACAAGTATCGAGGTCAGATGGTAGCAGCACTGGAATGGAATCAACAGTTTCTTCTTCATCGTCATCCAGCATCGGAACCGGCACCCAAGTAAGATCACATTTAAGTGCGTGCCCAGAGCGAGAGATTCTGGAGTGTAGTTCTGATTCTCGGAGTGGACGGCTCTCGAAACCATCCAATATTCCGGAGCCATAGACATCGCCTTAGACGATCGATTGAGCATTACAAACATAGTCCTGGTTATAAGCCGCATGGCAAAGCCTTGAAACCTAAGCCCCAACCCAAATGAAACCAAGCATCCCAGGTCACAGGCCAATGTGAGACTGGAGTCACCGGAACACGTAGCACGAATCAACCTGCAGCAAATAGGATCATCTTTATATAAGGCTTAGGGTTTAGGGTTTAGGGTTAGGGTTTATGTGGGGCGGCCCAAGGTATCCCTGCCTGTCATCCAGAGCTGCAGCTGTGGCAGCCGATCTCGACGAGGAAGCCCCTGCGCATACTATCGGGTAGAACTTCATTGCTTCTAGAGTTTGCAGGACACAGCTTAAATCTGCGCATGGATTCGGGTTTTCTTTCAGCTGCGATGGACTCGGAGTCGAAGTTGCAGACAGCCCCATAAATAATTCGGCACACATTATTCGAGCGGCCAAACCACTACAAAGATCTCCACCTCGCTGGTGGCACACCCAGCCCCCTGCTCTACAGTAAACACTGCAGTTTCATGCAGGTCTACCTGACAGGAGGATCATCCCCAATGCACCCGCACTTTAGCACAGCAAGTTGCAGCAAGTTGCATTACTGATATACAGCCACGATATGCGACCATCAGATTAACTTGAGCCCGGTGCGAGTGCAACCCGGAAAATCTCAGCTCAGCCCAATTTGGCGAGCTCTTTGAGCAGTCCTTTCGCTTGACCCTGACACAGCTTCAGCTCGTGAACCTTAGATGAGACACACATGGTATCGAGCCCATGACATGTATGACTTGCCAGGACAGCCTTGGCGTGGATCTGGGCGCAGAGTTCATTCATGGCATCTGGGCCGTTGGACAAGTCCAAAGCAGCGAACCTGGGCGAAAAATGGTTCACTCAAGCTAAGACTTTAACAGAGAGAGGTCAGATCTCCAACATGCACAGAGCATGTCTACATAAAAAAAGAGAGAGAGATAGATAGATAGATAGATAGATAGATAGATAGATAGATAGATAGATAGGAATAGAAGGGCCCCAGCGTGTGAGAATTATCGCAAGAAGATAGCACAAGAGAAAAAAAGAAAAGATAAAAAGGTAGAAATAACGAGAGAAACTAAGATACAGGGGTGACAGCAACATTAGGTTTAGGTTTTTGGGGTTTGGCATTGTCGGGTTTGGGATTTTGGAGTACAGTAGCCCAATATTAAATCATGGGGGGGACGTGTGCATCATGAATCACAGTGTTTCTGGGGTGCTGGCTTTTTGGCCAAAGACTTGAGCTGCTTCTCAAAGCCTTTCAAACTCTTGATAAGCTTCACCTCGTCCTCCGAAGATCCATCACCCATATCCAGTATGAGACTGGTCAAATCCGAGAGGTGCTTCTTGATGCACTTGCCTCAGATCACCAACTATGTAACTAAGTAGCATCGCAATATCTAGCCCCCATGAACACCTGCAATTTAGTGGCTCCACTTGCAATGCTTGTCTTTGTCATCCTTGAACACTTCCAAGATCGGCGTGCTTTGCTTTACAGTGGTAGCAGTCGAGCCAGCCACAGATCCCGGACCCTTGTTGCCCCGACTCGAGCCGGCTCGTTTCGATCCATTGCGCAAACCACCTCAGCTGCAAGCCCTAAACCCTAAACCCAATTTCCCCTAGCTACTAGGCTTAAGTACAGTTTATCAGGGTGAATCAACCCCCACCTGCGTTGGCAGCGGATTGTCTCCCAATCTGTAGCAGCTGCTCCTTGTTCTTGTTGAAGGCATCAAGAACCTCAGCCTGCAGCGGTGCCGGCGCAGGACCCTTTCGCTTCGGCATGAGTAGATTCGGCTCGCCATTGGTGGGGGGAACATCCAGCAGGTTTGCATGCGGTTCCAGATTCACCTGCATTTCTTGCTGGAACCTTGGATTACAGAACATGTACGAATATCACGTGCACAGCACAAACATGCACGGTATCTAAAACAGTACATAGGATCCAAGTTGCGAGTACTTCTCATGCTCTGTCTTCTTGCGGGCCACTATACACCAATACTTTGTCTCCTCTAAGGAGTCTGGGCATTGCTCATCAGCTTCCCCCTTCTGGGTCGCTATAATATGTTGTATTTTTTTCCTTAATTGGTCAGCACACACAGGAGCGTGGCCTATGCATGGTGCAGCAATGGTGAAACTTGGAGATTACGAGCCTCTGGCACTGCCTTAAAACCCTAAAACCCCCGAAGCCCTAAACCCTAAATCATGCACAAAGATTCTCGCTGAATTTGTGGGGCTCTGCGCCCATGTCTTTGACAGCGATTTGCATCCAGATTCGCTCTCCATGGACACCCTGCTCTTTCGACACTCGCATCCTCGCTTCGCAAGCGTCGACATTCTCGCCCGACAGAAGCCATTGACGTAGGAGCTGATTTTTCTCCTAGGGCATTTAGGGTTTAGGGATTTAGGGGTTCAGGGGTTTAGGGGTTTAGGGGTTTAGGGGTTTAGGGTTTGGTCATTATTGGGATTGAAACATGCATGGCTGAACGCCGAGCTGCAGCGAGGGTACCTTCCTGGAGTGCCAGCATATTCGGACACTTTGCAAGCTTGCCAGCTTCCCACCGACGATTCTTAGATCAGCAAGAAATCAAACCCTGATTCGAAGCCGAGAACACACTCACACTTAAAATGATGAGCCCAGCTGCCAACCTCATCCACTCCTTCCTGTGTGTCTGAGAGTTCACCTTCTCAGGTAGACCGTCCTTCATGATGCGCTGCTGATTGCCTGCGCTGTCGCCGACAGCTGAACCTGGATGATCTGGCTGTGTCTCGGTAAGCACTGAGACTGAGCCGTTCGACACACAGTCTGGGATTGCGTTGGGCTTCTCACGGTCTGGGATACTGCTGGGCTTCTCACGGTCTGGGATACTGGGCTTCTCGCGGTCTGGGATACTGGGCTTCTCGCCGTCTGGGATACTGGGCTTCTCGCGGTCTGGGATACTGGGCTTCTCGCGGTCTGGGATACTGGGCTTCTCGTGGTCTGGGCTACTGGTCGTGCTGATCCCCGAACCGGGCAGGGACTCAACAGTCTTCTTCGGGCTTGGAGTTTCAAAGACCGGGGCTTTAATATCAGCTCGAACTGGCGTTGCTTGGGGCCGATGCGGCCTTTCTGCAGGAATAGAGCTTGCACTGATCTGGCTCCTTAGCTCATCCTTTTCTTTCTCAAGCTGCTGCACTTTCTGTAGCAGTGCAGACACATCCGGTCCCAGCTGGCTGGCCGATGGGCCGAGCCTCATCACATACATCCGGTGTATTTGAATTAAGGTTTGGGGCTTGGGGTTTGTTAAGAGTATTGAAAGTTTAGGGGTTGAGTTTTGCTCATAGAATAAGACAAGAAGCTCTTTCATAATCTCACTGACATTCGAGTCCATCCTAACCGGGGATTGTGCATGTCCTGCCAGGCGCTGCTTCTCGCGGATGATGTCTTGCGCGGCGAGGAAGGAAGTACCAGACCTGCAGAAGTACAGGGCAGGGGCTTCATGTTGTTTAGGGTTTAGGGTTGTTAGCTCTATATAATGTTAGGCAAGCTACACTTGGGAATCGGCTTCACCCTTCACCTCGTCTTTGATAGGAGCCTCCTCCTTTGGAGCCTCCTTCGTGGGCCCCGCAAGGCTCATCTCCGAGAGCTGAGGATAGCCTTTCCTCCACAAGTCATACTCCAGCCAAACATTCTCTTCATTCCACCAGACATCATCACCATCATCGACCCCACCGGGGCCCTGTTCATCCTCATCATCACCATTGGTCAAAGCCAGGGTCGCACTAGGAACGGGTTTGCGCTTGGGCGGGGGAGCATCGGCGGGCACATCCTCGGCAGGTCGCTTCGACTTGATTCTGAAGGTAACCTTAGGGCCAGCTTCCTCAATCTCAGTCGGAGTAGTCGAGGCCCCAGAAACCCGACTCAAATCATCACACGCATTCTTGCGTAGGATCCCGATGGGTTTCCCTTCCTTTTTTGGCTTCTTGGCAGACTTCTGAGGAGCATCCTTGGCCTTTGGATGCGACTGCGACTGCTCGGCCTTCCTGCTCTTCACACCAGGATCCTTCGACAGCACAGCTGGTGCTGGGGTTTTGGGCTGTTGCGAATCTTCAAAAGCCCGAAAGACAGCCACTGCATCGTGATAGGATAGCTTCTCCTGTTTCATGAGCATCTGCAGTGTAAGGTTGCCGCAACCGATTTCAGTATCCAAGGGAACGTCTTTGGTTGAGGGCTTGCTCGGCTTTGAGGATGTGTCTTGCTTCTGAAGCTTAACACATTCCTTCAGCTTCTTGCCACGAAGAAGCGCTTCTCCAACACCCGGGGCACCTTTCACCATAGCACCTCTACCGAAGCTGCTAGATGTCAGCTCGAGCTTGAAAAGGCTGTTCTTATGTTAGAGGATCAAGACAGTAGTTGTGTGAAATTCTGCAAAGTCAGAAATCACGGAAATCACGCATTATAACGCGCAAGTGGGGTGGTTATCACGCTCAAATGCTCAGTTTTTCACGCACCCGGTTTTGCTCAGATTATACAGAAACAGGCAGAAGGCCATCCATCACAAAAGGACATAGTGTAGCTATAAGTAGTATATTCGACATATACAATTACATAGCTTATAATGGGGTCTATGAATGGTTTCACGACCTATGTTGCTACCGATGGCACTGCCTTCTATCAACAAACTTAATCTAATTGGGTTCCTGTGTGATGTGAAGTTGCACACCACACAGCACCGGATCCAAGGCGGCAGCCGCACTTCAACGGATGACATTGGGCGACAGAGCAGCAATGCCCAGTGTGAGCTCCTAGGGTTGGCATAGGGTTGGCATGCAGTCGCATGCACACACACATGCACATGCACATGCACACACACACACACACACTACACACTGGCTCACTAGCTGATGAGCATACATGACAATGCAAAGTAACAGCCGAGGGTCATCAGCTGAAGCAGACACTCTTGTCGTTTCACGTGATAACAACCTTGGCTGTACATGTTGTAGGGCTGCATACACATGCAGATAGGACGGTTGGGTTAGGTTTTCGGTTAGGTAAGATTTAGATATTGGGTCATATATATATATATATATATATATTAGCTATCAGCATATACTATGCTAATACATATATGCATATTATACTTACACACATCTTATGTAATATTTAAGTATTGAGTATTATAACTTTCGGCAAAGTATAGTGAAGATCGGTTTGGAAGTAGCCTATATGTATGCACACTGTGGCCCGGGATTTCCCGAGATATTTCGTGATTTCTGCGATGGTGTTAATGGTTTTGCAACAGTAAGGACCGTGATAATTTCGTGATTTCCGAAATGTCTCTGAGGCTATTGTTCGTGATTTTTGGTTTATGGTGGCTTGTTGGCTGTTTTGTTGCTTGCTTTTCTTCCTAGGTTTCAGCCTAAAAGACACTCCGAGTTTGTGTTCTGTACATTATATATGTAGCACAGAACCCTCTGCACAAGGGCGACAACTCTGAAGTATCATGATATTTGCTAAAGGTTTTGCCACTTAAACGGCATTGGGGGAAATCCTTTATAGAGGTTGGGTTAGGCATATTTCGAGGCCTGTTCATTATCGATCTTCACTCTATATCAGGGAGACCTGGATTAACGACTGTCTTGAATATAGTGTAACCAGGAATAAAATACCAAGAAAAACCATCCACCCCTTAAGCCCACAGTGCTTGGAGCCAGGATTTCAACCCAAATCCCGAAACTTTATGTTCCCCCGATATATCACACACACAGCCTTGCACCTCCACTTCAGACCAAACACAGAAGCTCAAATTAACAGGTATTCAGTTGAAATGAAGCTTCCAAGGTACTTTGCCAGCGGCTCACGGATACTGTCCTGGGACACTTGACCATGCAAGAGAGGGCTCCGGGTCCCTGATTTTGGGGTCAGACCGGGTAGTAGCTTCCAGGCTTTAACTTTTGGGGTTATATATAGGGTCTATCAGGGTTTCGTTATGGGGTGTGGGGATTTGGTCGGAACCGGTGGCTTCTTGATTTCAAGACTAGCCACTCGCTTCGTGGTTCGCATCCACTATATAACCGCACTTAGATTTTCTATGCAAGACCTACATATTAGGAACTAAATGGTTCAAGCCAAGACAGGATCCCCACCAGAATTTTAGGGTTAATTTAGGGTTTAGGGTTTAGGGTTTAGGCCCAAACCGCTTGAAAGGGCACAGTGTTCATACATGCAATATATTAATCTCAGCTAGGGAATGCAACAAATACCAAGGTAGCCGTCGCCGGTGGAACATCGGTACTAATTTGGTGCTCTTAGTAATTTTCGGGCGTGTCTTCGGGGCTGCATGAAGGGCAAGTTCAGGGTTCTGTACCCATGCAGCCAGGCATCCCAATTCCCCTTCAACTCTACGTCTTTGCAGCGAAGTAGGTAGCGGCAGCAATCCGAAATGCCAGCCTCAGACCAAATTCAAACAGATTGGAACTTTGCGTAGGCTCAGCCGGCAAATGCAACCCAGAAGCTTCAGAGCATACCGCACAATCCCAGAAGCCAGCCTGCAGCTTTGCAGAGAACAGCTCGTAATCCGTCTGGGTGAGGTCCACCACAGCCTCTAGACGAGGTCCTGGAAGCTCGGCCTCATGGCAGGGCTTATGCTTTGCTTCTGTAAGCACTTATATAATGCAGCTAAAGCACTTCATGGTTCATGCGAACATATGAAGTAATCGCGCTGGCAAACTTCATGGGATACTTCCTTGGGATAGCATTTGGTGGTTCGGACTGGAGGCCAATTTTCGGGTTCAGGGCTTGGGGTGTAGGGTTGAGGTTCGGGTTTAGGGATTAGGGTTGCGTTAATCTGAACTCAACGACCATAGGCATGTGCGAGTCTAGGGGCTGCGACTCTTTCAAAAGCTTCGGAATGCCGGTAAAGCGGTTTCGAACTTTCCCACTTCGATTTTGGTGATGTACAGCAAGGCGAATCTTCACCAAGGACTGTCTCTCTTTAACCGAGCAGTAGCCACCTTTGCACGTAAGCGATGCAAGCAGCCCTGAGCAGTTGGTCACCATGAGGTGTCGTTTCAAGGAAGCTCCACCGAACTTGCACATGTACAAGTAGCCCTTGAAGACCTGGCAAAGTGCACTGCTGCCTAGCTTTATGCTAATATCCTCCCCAAACTCTTCAGAACCTGTTCCATTCATATTGCAAACAAGAAACCGGGGCCCGCTCTATGAGCCACTGCATTGCGTATGTGTCCAAAATATTAGAAGAGCTTGGTTGTTCCAGAAGCCATCGACACTGTCGGGAACAAAGCACCAAAATAATTAGGATTGTCCGTGCAAGCAGTACATTCCCGGCGTGCACAAAGCCATAACCTGTATTTCCAGCCGGGTTGATCACATCCCTGCCATTCTTGTCTCGAGACCTCGAAGCATGACACACAGAAAGCAAAAAGTGTATTGATTTGGTAATTGCAGCCTCGATACAGTAGTACGAAGGAGCTGCAAGGGAGCCCCATGACACCTAGCCCAGTATTCTTCTTCATGCGGCGAGCTTCATTCAAAGCAGACCTGAGTTTGAGGTTTTCATGAAGCTGGCTGCTATATTAAGCAGAACATGTATGTCTGACTGCAAAACAGTAGCAAGAAGCCCGAAATCGACATCAAATCGAAGGCCACCGGGTCTTTCTCCAGCTCGAAAGACATCCCCGAAAAACCTCCATCCTCAGCTGTAGAAGCACTCTGCAAGCCTCCCCAACCTAAAGCCAGCCACTGGATTACAGACCCCAGGCTCGTCTCGAAGACTGGCGCCCACTGAATCGTCGCCAGCAAAGAGGTGAAGGAAGTCGACATCCTGCCGAAATTAGTTAGCGGGCACAGGGACAAATTTAAGCCTAAACATTGATAGGTTCTGTGGTGGCAACTGGTTTAAGGTTTAGGATTTAGGGTTTGGGGTCTATAATATATAGGGTTTAGGGTTTACATATGTTTAGGGTTTAGTTAGGGGAGACTGGGTCCTCTTCATGGATCGCTTTCTTGTGGGAGCTCAGCAGAACAAGGCAGAGAATCAGGGGCAACGGGGCCCCCCACTGTAAAAGCTCGGCCACGACCATGATCTCTATAGACTCTAGACCAGGGGTAGATTCAGATATTCAGAGGATTTGTTCGGTAAATTAGTGAAATCTCCAAAGCTTATCGAAGCTTGCAGCAGCTAGCTATATGACATATATGTTAGAGGTATATATATATATATATATGAGCATTATATGATGAACTACTTAAGTTGTAAAAAGCCAATATACTGGGCACTGCATGCACATGTCAAGCCAAGCTCATGGAGCACAATCTGCGCACTGCACACAAGCCTCAGCACAGAGCCTCACACAACAATTTTCTCAGGAACATCACAGGAGATTCGTTGCAAAGATCTGCAACCGCTAGGCTCATGCAGTCTCCATATGCGAATACGCACAGTCATGCTGCAAACCTAATTACACAGGCTAAAGCCTAAATAAATCGCCGACGCTTCAGTTCACTTTGTGAAAGGCCAGCCAGGAAGTCGGCCCTCTCCGTGGAGGCATTCCATGCTGTAATGGCCTCTGAGTGAGACCATCCCTCCGCCTTGAGATCCTTGATGTAATCTAGCCGGGCTTTGCTGTACTCTCCTGGTTTGTACAAAGTCACAGCCGAGACCTCCTCAGCCTCCTTCGCCTTCTTCTTGTTTGCCTTTTCCTTGTTTGCCTTTTTCTTGTTCGCCTTCTTCTTGTTCGCCTTCTGCTTGTTCTTTTTCGCCTTGCTGTTGTGTGTGGGCTTGGAAGAGCCAGCAGCATTCGGATCAGTATTTTCATCATCTTCGCCGCTATCATCCGCACCAGCCCACCTAAGCAAGTCATACATTTCTATCATGTATGTTCTATGCACTACAGATACTATCACGAAAAGTATTGCTGCCTCGTAACTGGTCACTCGGCATGACGGGCTTCGGGGCCTTTTTGTTGAGCAAGGTCTGGAGACTGTCGAGCACCTCACCCGAGAGCGTACAGATCTACCTAGCCCCGAATGTTAATCAACCTGATATCGCAAATGACAACTCCGAAATGCTTCCAGGAACAGCATCAGGGATGATTTTGTTGGCAGTGGTCTTGTCTTGCTTGGGAGTCTTGGCTTTCTTGACCTCAACCTCCTCATCAGATTCAGATCCCTCACCCTCCTCGGCCGGAAGGTCTCTTGAAGCCGCCGAGCGCTCATCTTGAGCGGTCTTCTGGAGCTTGGCAAGAACCATCCTGCATCGGCGGGAAAAAAAGATCGGGGAATGCACGTATGAAGGATGGAATGCCCAAGTTTGTATG